CTGGTTGAAAGCTGACAATTCTGACTGATAATAAAGTTAATTGTTACCAAGTCTACGGGGTCTGTCCAGGCTTACAAGTGAAACCATTATGCTCCTGACAAAATACTCTTGTCCGGAGTCAATACCTGTAGCGATCCCCAAGATGCGTGGGGTGTTCCCCTGCGAAAGCCTTCTCTCTGCTTTACAGCCAGGAGGGACCTGAGGTTTGGGCAGTTGTGACTTGCCCAGGGAGCCAGGGTAGGGTCTCACCAGGTCTGACCGGGAGTGTGGCTCGCTGCTTACTGCCAGTGGCGAGCAAAGGATGCTTTCTGTGCCGGGGCCGGGGGGACACAGACATGGTGAGAGTGGACCAGAGGGTGGAGAGTGGCTTCTCTTGTAATCCACTTCGTTCTCTGCAGACCTCCCTGTACAGGGAGCCTCAGGAATGGCGGGCCCCAGAGGAATGCGGCAACCGCAGGTGGCGTGGTGCAGGGGAGGCTACTGTGGGCTGGGAAGGAGGCACCACAGGCCCTGCCTAACCTACCCAGGATCGGCTTTGAGGTCAGGGTCTAGTTTGCGTCAGGCTTGTCCTTCCTGTGCATACACTTGGCCGAGTTCCTTTAGCTCTCTGAGCTTGCCTCCTCATCTTTAAGATGGGCGTAGGATTATTACGGGGCCTCCAGGATGTATCTGTACCTTTTGTTGAGGAGCTAAGGGGCTGGTTCCTCTACCTGCAAAATTGGAACTTCAGGCTCCTCCGGAGGCAGTGGGTGATGCCACCCTTGGTGTTCCTGTTGTGCAGTCCCTGCGCCCACCGCTGGACCATCCCTGGCACCATGGTGGCTCTAGGTAGCCATTAGTTCCTTTCCTTTTCCCCTCTAGAAGGAGTGAGTTAATCCACTTCCACCCTACCTAAGATGATCTCGGTTTCTTCTGCCCACCTGAGCCTCCCTGCCCCTCTGTCCTCCCAGAGGGAACAAAGACGAGGTCCAGTTTTGTCACTCCATGAAGGGGCTGGTGGAGGGCGACGCCCTGTGACCCCAGCCTCGGTTTCCTCCCAGGATAGTACAGTTGGGAAGGTTCCCCTCCCCCACCTCCATCCCCCCTGACCCACCCTGGCAGATGGGGGTGGGGATTACAGTGGAGGTTTTAAAGTGCCATTGAGATGGTAACCACACTGAGCTGGGCCCCACCTCTCCACATCAATGGCATTCCAGCCCCTGCTGTTCCTGCTTAGGCCCTACTTTAACCCTTCAGTTCCCAGGATCTGTTTCAATCCAGGGTGGACCAGGAGGGGACCTAAGAGAGGGCCTTGGGCGTCCCAGCCTAGGCCTAATGAGGGCTGAGGACAGCAGGCATGTTCCTGCCAATGCGCCTGGGAGAGCCCCAAGTGGGCGGCTCCTCTTCAGCCTCCCTGAATGCTCCGAGATATTTTTCCACCTTTACTCTCCCCCTAGGCCTTGGGGAGAGGGGCTTCATCCTATCATGGACAGGAAAAGAGTGGAGAGTTAGGGTGGGGGAAGCTGAAGCCGCCTGGGCCATGTTGAAGGCAAGTCCAAAGGGGATTGATCACTGGGGGTGGGGTGTCTACTTTCTGAGCTCCCACCTCCCATGTGGCCAGCCAATTTCTGGTAGTGTAGGATCTCCCTCTTTGTTTTTTGTTTGTTTGTTTTTTTGTGGCTGGCTGGTATAGGGACGAGATGTTGGGCCAAACAGGATTTGGAAGTCTAAAAAATTGGGGGTCCTCTTAGTGCCATCTTAGGGCACAACACTTACCCAGTGTATGCTGCCCCCACCTGTTACAACGTTGGGTCTTTAGAGCTGCCTGTGGAACTGGTGGGCCATTGAGACAAAGCCCAACTGTAGGCTGACCAACTGTCCTGGTTTCCCTGGGATGCAGGACTCTATGCTCAAACTAGGAATGTCTCAGGGAACCTGGGATGAGTTGGTCACCTGAGACCCAAGGCAAGAGGAGGAATGTTTCTGAGCCTGGGGAAGAGAAAAGCCCCTGGGTTGGGGCTGCTGAGGGCGAGGGGCAGTGGGCAGGGGGCGGTGGGCCTTTCTAGAGACCGAGGCTTGCAGCTGCCGCCTGATACCTGCCCAAACCTGTGTGGCCAGATTCCTGGCGGTCCCAGAAGCCCACTGATGGGCTCGCCTCTATTGGCCCTTCTTCTCAGCCATCCCCCACCCACCCCATGAAATCCAAGCCCCAGGGCCTGGATGAGCTGGATAAACCCGCCCAAAGACTCTCAAGTCCATCACTGACTGGAAGGCCGTTTTCCAGCGACTGTCACCAGCCCCCCCCCCCCCCCCCCCC